CACCCCACCCCTTTTCGCTCCTGGTGGCCTTGTCGGGTGTGTTTTTTGCCTGTTGGAAAAGTCCCTGCTGCCCAGGATGGGGGTCGGTGGGTGCTTAGCCCTGCCCTGGAGGTGCCTAGTCGTCCTCTGTCTCAGGCTGCTCTTCCTTGTGCCCGCAGGAGTGCCCGTGCGCAGCGGAGATGCCACCTTCCCCAAAGCTATGGACAACGTGACTGTGCGGCAAGGGGAGAGTGCCACGCTCAGGTAGGAGCAGCCGGATTTCTGCCTTGGGGAGCACGGGGGGGGTCCCACTGCATGGAGAGGGCCTTCGGGGACGTGACTCAGTTTCCCCACCGGGGATGCATCGTGTCGATCGGCGGCGCAGGACGGGCGTCGGGCAGCAAGCCGAGAGGGAGATTTGGGTGCCAGGGGACCAGGCTTTGGCTCAGCCCCCCTCCAGTCGTCCCTGGGAAAGTTACTGGGGGATGAAAAAAGGGGAGTGCGATTCCGCCTCGGCCCCCTGCCCCGCACCGGTGCGAGGCGTGGGCTCGGCTCCTGCTGTCGGTAGTCGTGGCTCGGGTGCTTTGGCTGCGTTTGGTGGGGGTCAGCAGTGCCCCGCTCCTGGGGTGTGGTGCCGGGGGTGCCTTCGTGCTTGGCAGCCCAGCCCAGCCTGGGGAAAGGGGGAGTTGTCGATTCCCCCGGTGGGCTTTTGTGTCTTTTCCCTATGCCCAAACCTGCTGGGTTGAGGGGGTGCAGGATGGGGCTGGCTCCGTAAAAATCCCCTTTTGGGGGGCTGCTGCTACCTGCCAGCATTAACTCTTTGGGGTGGGGGGAATTGTGGGGCTGGGCGTTGCACCAGGGTCCTGTCGCCTGCAGCAGCTATCTCAGGGGTGTGGGGGCTGCCAAGAAAACTGTAATTTTGCTCGGTGTAACTTCTGGGACATCTTATACCTGGATACCCATCCCTGTCCTCGCAGCAGATGGGCGCAGTCATCCCAGAAGAGATCCTGGCGAGGATGTTTGATAGGGACATTAAAAATAAAAAGCCAGGTTTTAATTGCAGCGCTGGGAAGCGGCGCTTGCAACTCCAGCGTGCTCAGGAGTGACTTTCCTCCGCCGGCGCCGTTGCATAGGTGACACTAACATCTGCGGGGCCAGCTGGGTGTGTGCGGTGAGAGCCGCACTCCTGCTTTACGCCAGAGAGTGGAGCAGGGCCAAGCTGGGGCAAAAAAAAAAAAAACCCAAAAAACCTAGGGAGGAATTTCAGCCAGGTCTCTTTTCACACCGTGGGAGGACTTGAACCACCGGCTGGGTTTGGCCCCTGGAAACGTGGATCCCCTCCCTATGTATTTCCTGCAGCTCAGCTTTTTGCAGCCAAGCGCCTCTCCCCCCGCCCCAGCCCTTGCGTGTTCCTGGGAGCCAGGGAGGGAGCTGTGGTGTGGCCATCCCTCCGGATTTGTCTTGTGTCGTGGCACGACTGGGCAAAGAGGCTTGAAAAAGGGTGGCTGAGGGTGGAGAGACGGGGTGTCGGGCTTAGGAATTCGCTCCACTGAGCTGGGCGAAAAAAGAAAAGTAGGTCCTTTCCTCTCTTGAATTGCTGGGCTCTCCCCAGCACCAAAGACCCTACAAATCTCACCAGGGGGGTGTCAAGGAGGAAGGGGTTTGGCTTACTGAAGGTCTGAGCAGCAAAATACACGGGAGGGGTGGCAGCAGCAGGGTGGTACGGGCACGGGTGCTGTGCAAACTTACTGGAAGGAGGCAAATTGCTCATGCTGCAAATTACTCGTGCTGTAGCAGGGGCCTGCAAAGGGTTTCTGGCACAGGGTTTCCAGCACAGACCATGCTGGTGCTCTGCCCTGGCACAGGGTGCTCGCCCAGTGCTGGTGGAGAACAAAGGAAAGCTGGGGTGAGTCAGCAGGAGGGATGCTTTCCGTCTGTCCGTGAGGCCTGGTGGGAAGGGGGACAAATCCTGCGCCTGGGAGGTGGCCCTGGGGAGGGAGGGCAGCGGCCGAATGCGCATCCCAGTTCAGCTGGGGAGCCCGTCCGGCAGCAAGGGATGTCCCTGTCCCGACAAATATGTCCCAGGAGACGGGCACATGGGCTTTGGAGTATGCAAACTGTGCCGATGATATTCCCGCTGTCCTGCCCCTAGAGTGGGCGTTGCTCTTGGAAATTAATGGCTTGCTGCTGCTGCCACCGGCTCGGTGCACTGCTCTGGGAGCCGGTGAGGTGGAGGACTGTGTTTTGCACTGGCATTTTGAGGCATTTTCCTTCTGGTTTGAGGTGGGAGCGGTTCGTCCGGCAGGCAGCGGTACATTGCTGCATCCCCCAGTAGGTCCCAGTCCGTGCAGCCGTGCTGCGCTGTGGCAGGAGCTGAAGGGAGAGGAACACGTGAAAACCACGCGTTTCCCGAGAAGGCAATCAGGGAAGCGTGAATCTTCCTGCCTGCTCCCCTCCCAGCCCCGCTCCCGGTGTAACCATCAACCTGTTGGGGAGGAGTTCGCTTGTTCCAAATAGCAATCCCGCTCGGAAAGGCTTCGGCAAGACCCCGCTGCTGCTCCCAACCACCTCCTGCCCAGCGCCCCTGCCTCGGGGTGGCAGTCAGGGAAGGGTGCATGGGAATGAACAAAAAAAAAAAAACAAAAACCAAACAAACAAACAAAACCCCAAAAAAATAAAAAAAAAAACCCACAAAAAACCCCCAAACAAACAAAAAAACCAAAACCAAAAAAACCGCCCAAAAACCTCAGCCCCCCCCCAAAAAAACCCTCAGAATCTCCTTTTTTCCCACTCATTTCCATGCAGGGTGGGAGGACGGTGAGTTGCAGCCAAGGATTTGGAAGGAAAGATGTTGCTAGAGGGCCCTTCTTGGTTTTTCACAGCCGACAAAAGGGAGAGCAAGCTGTGAACTTAGCAGCAGAAGTTGCTGCTTCTCTGAAGCCCTCGGGAAGTCCTGTCCCCACCGAGGGAGAGGCCTTGGTTGTTGGAAATAGGTTATTTGGTTATTTTATCCGGGGTGGCGGGGTGCCAAGGAGTCCAAGCTGCTGGCAAGCGGCAGTGCCCTGCCAAGGAGGCTTTTTCAGCTCCGTCCCTGCCGCCCCGCCAAGCACGGCTAACTCAGCGCCGCAGAAGGAAGCTGGATCCATGGCCACGAGGAGACTGCCCCGTTGTAAAGAGCACGGGCTTTGCTCCATGCAAACCTGGCTACTGTAAATCTACAGCTAGGAGTCAGTTTAGGACCAGAGTCCTCAGATGTTCAGATATTTCCTTCCGTCTTGTGATGTCTGCTGGAGGGGTGCAGGCATGCGTCTTGCTTTGGTACGAGCGCTTCAGGTGACTATTAAATTTAAATCTAGGGTTAGGCCTTGGGATAGAGCTACCATCTGGGATAGGAGGAGCGGGATTTACTCCTGGATGCAGCAAAACCTGCAGGAATAGGGGAAAAAAGGGTTTGTGGGTGTTGGGTCCAACAGCTTGGCATTTCTATCGATGCGTGCGTTGGTCCCTGAGCTGCTCCTGCCCTTGGGGTTACACCTGGGGCTCGTGTCTGTGACAAGATGGGTCAGAGCTGTCTTTCCTGCTGGCTCTTGCAAGGCCGTATCGTGAGGATGAGGCCGGTCTGCCTCCCCTCCCACCATGCCCAGACACCATCTGCCCTCCCCAGTAGCAAGTGGCTCATACTGGAGCAGACCCACGCTGAACTTTCATCCGGCGCTTGAACCGCGTCCAGGCATTTGCTGAGACCTTTGGAGCGGTTCGCTCCGCACCAAAACAAATGGCTTGATTACGATTTCGCTTTAATTGGCATCAGTCAGCGCTTTCCACGGTGAGGCTCTGACGATCCCAGCAGCAGGCGCAGGCACTTGCGTGGCGTCCCCCCGAATTCGCCGGCGCCCCAGGCAGATGGCGTGCAGACCTGGCTGTAGGACGAGGGCCACTTCTCCTCTGCCCTTCTCCTCTGGTTTTCTTGGCAGGGTGATGCAATACCTTTATTCATTCCCCCTCTGATGCTAATGCTAAAAGTCAAATCAGAGTTTAACATGAGTCAAAGCTTTTTTTGTTTTTAACCCTGCTGTTTCCCATGGTTTCCACTTGGGCTTTGCAAAGGCCCTGGGCTTTGCTGCTGAGCTCTACCGTGCTTTACCTTGGTCTGTTTTGTGCATTTATTTTTTGTGCATTTATTTTGCTCCTGTTGTGCTCTTGAAATAATTTTGGAGAAATTATAACTTGGCTGTGAAACAAAACAAAATCAAGCGTGTTTGTTTGACGGATGCAAACAGCAAGTGCTTGTTTGCTAAGCAGAAGAGTGTCTTTCTCGGAGATGGGTCTGTTTTCTGTGACTCTTTGCTGCCCCATCTTTCCCCTTTTGTCCGCAGGAGTTTCTCTTTTTGCGATGTTATTGTGTAAGATGAAGAACCGGGCTGGTCCCCGATGGGTCATGGCGTGGCGTGTCCCAGCATGCTACTTTTGCTTGGGTCCTGGGGGATGCTGCGTGTCTCCCCCCATGCCCGGGCAGGGCTGCTCCTGCCGGGGCTTGAGCGATGGTGATTCTCCGCTGAGGTTTTGGGCAGCGGCCTTTGTGGTTTGCAGTTGTTGAGCGCAGAAAGCCTGCCGGAGGGGAAGGGGAACCCGCACTGCGCTCTCTGATCCCCAGAAAGTGGTGTTTGCCAACCCTGAAGCCGGGTGCTTGGCATGGGGCTGGGCTCCTGGTGCAAAGCAGGAAAGCAAGACAGGGCAGAGGTTGTTCACGGGAGGGTCCAGCCGTGGTTGCTAAAGCCTGCTTGGCAGCCGCACAACTCTGGGTCCGTTTTGCTCGAGGCTCCCCACTCCCGTCACTGGCGGTGGGAGCTGCAATAACCCCATTGCAGGGTGTTGCTTGTCCAGCCCTTTCCCATGCTTGTCCAGCCCTTTCCCACACGCTGGCAGCCCCCCGGATGCCCCGCGGGCATGGCCTCCCCATCACAGCACTCCCACCTCCGGCCCTGCTCCGCCAACTCCCCCTGTCCTTGCCCAGCCATCACACTTAGCAGCGTGCTTCTCCCTCCCCAGGGCTCAGGCCTGTGGCACGCTGCTCCCGGGAAACATTCATCCTGTTCTGATGGTCTCCAAGCTTGATACCTGGTATTTTTATTTTTATTTTTTTTGTCCTGCTACAATGATTTATTTTGGAACCTCACCTGGCAGAGACCGAAGCTCCTGGTTGCTTCCCTGCCCGCTTCCCAAGCCCAGACCAAGGGGATATAGCCTGGAGCCTAAGGTGTAAT